AAATTTCTGCATGTTTTGCACTGTGAGTATCTTGCAGTTTTCAAAAGTTGAAATTCGATAGAACACATGAACAAAAGCGTTAGGGACATGAACTCCAAATTTTTGTGTAGATATTAGTTAACCCATCCTGCTTATATTTGAGAATGACAGATATCACAGACTATTCTAAATAATTATGAGATCAACATCACAACGATCACAACAGGGCTTTCAACTTCCGCTGGTTATTACGCTGAATAAGCAGCTATCAGGTGGATCAAAATGAACTGGATCTTTATGAAGCAATCGCCCCAGATAGCATTGCCGTACCTCTGGCCAATTCTTGTGTGATAACACCAGAACAGTGTGCTGCCCCACAGTTGTTTGCACGAACTACCCGACGACTTGCTACAGTTGCTCTGCCAGTTGTATCGAATTATGTGAGGTATATTCTCTGTTCAAGGGAGTTCACGTTTAAAACCGTCCCTTCACATGTTCGAAACTGACATCCTAGCCACAGTACTGCTGCATCCTAATATGCAATTCGAGCAATATTATTACGACTGCATTTGCATAACTTAATGATTCGGCGGATGCTATTATTCCTTAAGTTTTCTTTATATAATTCATCAGCATTTTCGTTTGTGCTGCAGGTAGCCTGTCGTCTTCGATTCAAATGGTAAAAGGTATGGCAAAATTTTATCATGTTTTCCTTAGAGATCAATAATGACGATTATCTGCAATCGTTCAGTGAGTTTATCATCTCAGTATCACTCGTTTAGACAGTTTTATTTTAAAGAATGGAGATAACGCCAACCAATAATTAGTACTCTCCGTTAGCAAGCCTTCCATAGTCTATAAGCATAAGCGTAACAAGACCTAGCGGCTGTGATGAAAAAGATGCTCATAAATGCATATCTCTGTGGCTGTGATTCCTTGCTCCAATCGCTGTCTGCTTTACTGGATGGGGGGTAGTTAGATTAGAGAATGGCCTCTCTATGCAAATCATTCATCTATTCATTTTCAGTAGCTTTATTCCAACTGGATCACATTCGAGCTTTCTCAGGAGGATTTCTTAGTGATTCTGATCCTCCGTGAATTGAACAGTCTTCAAGGGCTGGATTTCGAATGGCGATGATACCATTACGTTTATAAAATCGAGCTGTTCTGACTTTTGATCACACGCTTGCCATACTCCATGTAGAACTGATAAGCTAGTTCTAGTGAATCTCTCCTCAACGACCCTCTTCACACAGCCAAACCATCAAAATTGTGACCTCTCGACTAAGAGAAATTGTCATTCATCATTGAATTATTCTCGACTTTGATTTACTTTCGTACCCTGGCAAACCTTTGAAGTAACCGCTCAAGATTTTGAGGTTCCACTACAAATCGCACTCCATGTGTCTATATTCAGCACCCATGGCAATAAATGAGCGCAGATGCGCAGACGACTAAAGGCACGTATCTAAATGGGCTGGTTTAGATCCCGGTTCACATAGCTCCCTCTGCTGATTCATGTATCTACTTTCACATTTTATCTTCGTTTTTGCATTGCTTGAATACTTCCTTCTTTATATCCACTTCACCGAAGTTTGGTTGAGGATGCCAATGGATTATTTGATATCTTATGTTGTCACTCTGCCATATTGTCATCAAAATGTAAATGTGGGGTTAAGGTTAGTGATTTTATCACATAATAGTCGCATCTCACAACTGATCCTCATAAATTAACAACGAATATTCCCATGAATAACCTATTATACGCAACTTTTGCCGGAAAGGTTCGTAGTAAATAGTTGAATCCTCAGAGTTTTGCCATGGATCAGAACATAATTTGGCCACATAATATGTTCTGATCCCGTGCTTAATTGTCAAGTCACTCTCTGCTTACTGATTGGAATGTACCTTGATTGGTCTAAAGATTTTGATTAATATATTTTTGAAAAAATTGAATGGGTAGAACTGTATGCCTTGTTAGGAAAATGAATCATTTGAAACATAACTCATTTGCGCCAGATTACGACCACAAGCTCTTTCGTTACGACGTAAATCCCTGTAAGCCATTTCAACACCCTTGACCTGTGATCTACCGTTTTTGGCCAATCGATAAACCGATTATTTTCTGACGATAATCCTGACTGATCACCTACCGTTAACGTAGGAGTTCTTTACTTCATTCCATATTTGGTGTTATTATATACAATGACAGAAACGGTAAAATAATCGGAATGGCACTTGCGCTAGAATGTGCGCTTTTAGCCTTTTTGTTAATGCGAAGAGAAAGAAACTAAGAAAAAAAATCGATAGAGAATTTAACGACTGCTGTGATGATTGTGATGTGTTTCCCCACTGTTCATTCACTATGTACTTTATGTTGTCTTTAGAAAGACCCAGAGCCTGATGAACGTATGATAGTCGCTTTCTGCGATGATGAAGAAGAGGATGGCGAAGCTCTGTTCAACCTTTTGAAGCAAATCAATCGAGATAACGCACAGTACGCCGGAAGGCTAGAAATCCTGCTAATCGATCCGGATGATTTTCCGCTTATGATTGATGAGTGGGAGTCGATGTTCGGAATTGAAATCGAAGAGGGCCCGCAGCTTGGTCTTGTAGACATTTCTGACGTAAATACTTTTTTGCTACGTAGAGCTGCGAATAATGAGGCGCTTTTGTTAGAAATGGCAATGTGCGTTCAAGATGATGATTCAGCACAACATCGAAACATTGTCAGACGCTATTGCTTAAAATGCCACAGAAAATTGTAGCAGCCAAAATAAGTTTTAATTCAAAATCCAATACAAACCATTTAATAATGTTATTACTGATTTGCTGGGGTGACGTGCTCCCGATAAACATAAAACATCGGTTTGATCTAATCTCACTGGGTCGGGAAACGGTTTTCGGGGTACTGTTGAGTCAGGTGAGAATCGGAAGCTTTTTCTGACTGTGCGATTTCATGACTCGTAAACAAATGGCTGTTTCACTTGCTGAGACATTGAAAAAGATATTTCCATGCAAACTGTCTATTCAATAGGTGCCTTTGATCATGGACAGGTCAAAGACCATGTAACAATGAAATTTTTTATGTAGATGAATGGAGCAAACCCTTATGTACACGTCGCACAAATATTCCATAGACATGTTAATGACTCACTTCCGAAGAACTCATCCTTGCAGAAGCCGAGTTCCTCGTGAGATGAAACTGATCGTCACGTTAACATTTGTCACCTTACAGCAAGCCACCGTTCAGCACGCACTAAAATTATTCTAGAGCACCTGTTGACAGAAATTTTTATGTGGATATAAACATTTCCCTGATGATTCATTCCATTAACCCTCGAATAAATGAAAAATTTTGATCTATTCAGGTTTTAAACTATGTATATGCTTTTTTTATAGACTTTGTCTGAAAGAGACCCTTTTCATTTTTGTTCTGTTTGACTTTATTTGAACATATTTTAACTGTGAGTATATCTCGCACATGATTAAACAACAATAAAGCTGATGGCATATGCAATTGAAGGTACATTCGAAGACAAGTAGAGCCCACCGCTTACATTTAGCTGTTAATGGATAAATTCTTTAGAGGGAAGGTGTTTGGTTCGATATGACGCAGCTAAACCTGAAGGAATCGAACGAATATGAGGCTCAAAACTTAGAAGTCTTACAAGCATGGATTGACCAAATCATGGAAGGCAGCATCAAGCTTGGAGGTGAGCAATGATTTTCATGAAAGCTCCTGTACATCTGTGTGATTTCCAGAACCTGAACCAGAACCAGAACCTGTGACCGTGCAACCAAAAGGCAGAAGGAAACGCGGCGAATTGTAAATGAGCATAAGGTTACTGTGATGGACCATTGTCTGAGCATCATAATGCTGCCGGATATTTTGAATTTTCTTTTCCCTGTTTTCTCTTGTGCCTCTTACTGCATTGGATTTGTTACTCAACGTCATAGTTGTGGGTGTCTGTAACCATAGACGGTTTCGGCGTTCACTACGTGGGAACTAGGTACTAATTTAAGCGATAATTTTTCAATTGACGGAGGCGTAGTTCGCTACTGCAAATGTATGTTTTCATTTATTGGTTGAAAAAGAATTAAAATTAAATTAACATTGTGTAAAATTGAAGTTTTCAGAATTCAACAATAAACTCCAACAACAAAAGTGTATGAACAAGTAAACAAACTCTGACATTGCTTTAACTACAATGGTATTATACATCAGTAACTCATTTCATGCCAAGTTGAACCTTGAACTTGCTCTCTAAAGAGGCGCATGTCAATCCCAATAATAGACAGTACATCTGCTATCAAAAACGTTCGATTCTGAATTGAGTCTTTCGACGTGATTCATGCCTATTTGCACTGAACTGGAAGACTAAGAATTTCAAATGAAATTTGAAAAGATTTCAGAAAACTGCTTCATCCTCATTAGATAAAGGAAATGGACTTCCGCTCATTTGAATTTTATCATGAGGAAGTATTTCCAAGTGTTTTTAGGTAGTCAGCCAAGTACTTTTAGAAAACGAGTTTCAGTTGATTGAACAACAGAATGGAATGAAAGTGGAGTCCTTTGCA